CACTATCCACACTCAAGCTCCTTGTATTTATCCATATGTTGTAGTTATCCTAATCATTATAGGATTAGGATAATCATCCCCTTTTATTGTAATCCTTATCTCCTAAGGAATATGCTTATTCTCTTGTATGTATATATATGTATGTGCACGTGATGAATAAGATATACAGAGTTACAACCTTCTTCTTTATTCTTTAACAACTTGAGGTTTTATTTTTTTTAAAGTATAATTCTATTTTAACACATTTACCATTTCAGGTATTAAAACACGAAATATATGACTTGGGGACCGGAAACTTATTATATGGCTCGATCATATTTGACGCAAAGTTAAGTAGAATTTCAAGTAGGGCACAACTCTTTCTCTTCTTCACTAATTACGGGCTTACAATACAATTTGGTTAAAAAAGAGTGGCTACAACATAAGAAATAATTAAAGGGTTTTAGGGTGGCCTAAAGTTTCCAGCACACCTCTAAGGAGAGACAATAGCTAATAAGAGACCATCCTCATCGCCAAGAAGAATGAGTCGAGAAGTAACCGAGAAGCCCAACGAGTGGTGCGTTGATGTAAGTTGTGGGCTCCGACTGCACGAAATAAGGCCTCGAGTCAGGAAAAGCATCAGTGACATTGGGTCCACCAACTACAGCACCAACAAGAAGGTTTGGGTTTGGATTTGGGCTGAGGAAATAGCGGGAGCCTTCTTTGCAGCCTATACGGGCTGGATGGGCTGACACTGAAGGAACAGAGCTGCCACGGTGGTGAATCCTACGTGGAAAACGTTGACCGTATCCAACCATGTAGGACATTCCCAACGGGTTGTCTCCCAAAATGTAATCCACCTGTTCATTTGTCACAGCAAAATCAAACACAAAAACGGCTATATATCTAAAGCTTGGTCCCCAAAGAAAAACAACGGCTATGTGTTTTTGTTTTTGGTCCAAAATGTTGAAAGTTTTGGGACCATGCTTTTTAAACTTACTTGACGCTTGGCGACTTGACGGAGGAGAGATGGGGAGGCAGTTAATTCGCCACAAGGCACAACCTTTCTGGCATGGCTCAGATAATTAGAGTAGGCCAATAGGAGGAAAGATAGTGATGTTACATGTTGCATGTTACTCCCTCCAGTTTTCACAAGCAGTCCTCCTATACAAAGACAAACGAAAAAAAAATAGATTAATATTACTGATTAATTATATACATTTTACTTTGGGAGGAAAAGACAAAAAGCGAATCACGTGAAGTGGGGAAAAAAGTATGGTATGCTTTGATATCGGCAAAATAAAAAATGATGGTTTTATATTACCTCGAGAGTATTGGACTTGAGGGTGAGAAATTCCAGGCAATATAGAACAGATAAATTCATCTGCGTTTTGCTTGAAATTCTCAAAATACTCTGCTTTTCCCATTAGCACTTCCTGTTATCAAAACACGACAACAACACTTTTATTGAAATTCATGCATATTATCTTACATACATGAAGGTTTTAGGATATGGACATGGGTCAAGGAATGGGGCAGTGAATAGTGGAAAAGAACAACAACAAGAGAGAGTGCCCATGTGAAACTAAGATAATGAAAGACCGTTGAGAAATGACAAAACGAAAAACCCACCAAGGCTGTTGCAGGCTTGCAGCAGAATAAGGACATGACACTTTTATTTTCATTTTCCTCAGCCTTTGTGCCACATGCTTTGTGGCAGTAACCATAGACTTATTTACCCTTTCCTCTTTTATTGTCCCCACTAGCACCCTATAGGCCTGAAGCCTGAATACTACTACTAATAATAATGTTCGTGTAACTACAATATGCATGTATTAAGAAGACCTTAGTGTTAAAAAACTTTATCCAAAACCACAAATAGGATTATACTCATGTGATAAACCACATGCAAACTCCTTCCAACCGGAAATGGCACAAAGTCATATACTGTTTACATTTCACCTACCACACAATGGACTATCAAGTGTCTAATATTATATCTAGATTTATATGTTTATCCATTCACTAGTAGTCATGGCTCATGGGGCCATGTGAGGCTCTGGCTTCCATTTGGTAACGTTATAATATAAAAAAAAAATTATATGAATCCAAATCTAGGAGCATATACTGAACAGAAAGGAGGGGAATGTCCAATGAGGTATGTCTTAACTTAAGATTTAGCTCCCACATCACATGACCATTTCTAATTGGTTAAATCCCATATTTGATCATGTGCAAGTTTCAATCATCCATCCCGTATTTTATCTTCTACTCTATAGTTTAATATTCTATATCACTTTCCTATATATGCACGACCCTAGCATGCCTTTTATCTATCTACCTCCCCCTCTCTCTCCTAAACAAAAGACTCGATGTTGGTTCACATATCTAAGCAAGTTTTATTTAATGAAGCACATATGGAATACCAAATCAACTAGATGTAATGTGAACTCTACTTCCAATTATATGATCAAAAGTCGTGTCACCAACACGTGATAGCCAGACACACCCCATCCTTCTCGCTACCTATGTTAACTTAATTCTTAGTACTCCCCTTGCAACCAAACAAACAAAAGACCACAAGCATTCAAAAAACACTCTAATTATAATCACCAAATCTTGGATTCTTGAACTACAATTTACGGTACCGTAATAAAAAAACAAATGAATAGTTTAGCTGTGATTAAAAAGTGGTAGGTTACCTTGGAGATCAAGACATTAATCCCAGCATGCTTGTTATCCCAACCAAACTCATTAATGGTATCTCCAGCCCTGAGAACCACCTCGTTCTTCACAATGAATTCTCTGTACACTCGTTTCCTCGAGGCTTTGTGCAGCCACGCCGCACCCCACAGTAACTCGTCCTGCATTAGCCATCCACGTCAAATCACAGTATTCATATCCAACGGCTGATACCAAAGTAGTAAAATACAAGGTTAACTGTTTCCTGTTTTTTTACCTGGTAACCGTTGAAATCACAGTAAAAAGGACACACCGCGTGGTATAGACTGCTACTGTACGCGCCTCGATACCTATTAGCAAACGCGAATACCTGCTCCACGTTACGTGTGTTGTCAATTTTCTTTTCTCGATATAAAACATAGGTTTTCATATCCGTGATTTCGATATATCTTCTCTAACGTCAGAAAATTATTCATTCAGACGTACATATACGTAAGAAAAATACTCGAAAAGTCAACAGTATAATTTTTTTTTGGTGAATAATCTTTTTTTTTAAAATAAATCACAGAAATGAACCAAGCGAAAAAAGTACTGAAGAAATAATTATTAGGAAGCAAATGGAGAGAATCTCTTATCTCACAAGCAAAGAATCATTGATTAATTGAAAACTTTTGACTATTTTAACCATTTAATATTATTATAAACAAGAAATACATAATTTATAATACATGTGAAAACTGCAAAATTGATTTACTATCCACTTATAAGAAAATCCGAATATTTTTCACATACTAAACCAAAGAAAATCAGAACATTATTACTCTCTGTTTTCAAAAGAAAATCATACTTTTCAGTTTTGCTTTATTATATTTTCCTTTTATATTTTCTATGCATGATAAACTATCCTTTTTAGTTTATTAATTAAATATACAATAACAAAATTAATATTTTTTTGGGAAAAAAACTAAAAGACACTCAGTAACAACCACAATCAATGAAAAATCATGTTAACTAAACAACAACAGAGGAAAGAAACAGACACACACGCGTAAGAAGTAATAACCAAAAGAAAAAAAAAGTAACGTACCCTTGTCGCCCTATCAAGCAACCGTCTAGAGTAAGCAGGATCACGTTTCCTAAAAACAATCGACGCCGCCGCCAACGCAGCCGCGGTCTCTCCCGCGACATCAGAACCAGGATGAGCCCTATCGATTTTATAAACACTGCGAAGCGTGTCCATATCCTCAGGCCTCTCCCAACAGTTATGGTCAGAGTAAGCGTCTCCGACCTGAACAAACACAACTCCGGGAATCGCCGTCGCTTTGAGGAGGTAATCCGTTCCCCACCTAACGGCTTTCACGGCGTTTCTGACCTCAGGCCCCATGGTTTTTCCGAAATCGATTACGCTCCATGAGAGCATTGTTGTTGTGAATGCCATCGGGAAACCGAACTTCACGTTGTCTCCTGCGTCGTAGTAACCGCCAGATAAATCCACCTGAAAAAAAAAGGAAGTTAGAAATTTTGGAGGAGAGAGAGAGGAGGAGGAGATAATGTAGACTCACGCCGGCGGAGGAACCGTCGTGTAGAGCGGAGTCGCGGCGCCATCGGAGGCGTTGATCGGGAGGAAGCTTGCCGGAGCGTTGACCTTCGAAGAACATTATGCTTTTGCGGAGTGCGTCGCGGTAGTCGTGTCCGGCGTTGATAGCTGGTGAAGAGAGAAGCACGGCGAGGAGAATCAGTGAGAGTGTCGCCGGCGAGATTGGGGATTTTCGCGCCATGTTTCTCCCTCTGTTTTGTTCTGTTAGTGGAGAGAGAGACTGTGAGGAGAGTGTATTGATAGGACCAAGGAAGAGAGGGCTCTTTATACTAAAAAGCTTGTCTTGGATTCCAGAGAAAGAACCAATTAAAAGTCACCACGTGTGAATTTCTGATTGGAGGTAAAGTTCTTATTGGGTTTGGGATTTCGAGGCTAAATTCGCTTAACCGGATTTAACCGGACGGGGTTATGGGTTTGAGTGTTAGTTAATGCAGAAGGTGTGTACTCCGTCGGTACGGTGAAAGAATCCAAAAAAGTGGAAATCTGTGAGAAGAAATAATGATAAAAGACAAAAAAAAAAGTTTGCTTTTTTTTTCTACCATGTGACACACCGTCCTATTGTCACGCGACACGTGTTGTATGTTTTGGAGTTTTGTGATTAATTTTGTTCTCTTTTTCACCGAGACATAATCAGTAAATCACTATAGTTTTTTTTAGTTAATTTTCCATTAATTTCGGCTTTTTTGGACCTACAAATGGAATAAAGATTCTGCCATCCATGAATTTCTTAATAGCAATGTTGAAGAAAACTTGTGGTTGTGTGATAATGAAGATCTTAAAACTCGATGTATATAGTAACGTAATAAATTTTGGCTAGCATTGAACTTTCATGGATTTGCAATCTGTAATCCACTTTGGTCATGTGATGTGTAATTTAGACAAGACAACTAGCATTTAGTAGATTCGATGGTGAGATTATTATATAACATTTTTGTATAGAATAGTTCATTATTAGTATATGAACCCCATATAGCACATACGTATACATTTCTGATTCGTTTTCTGTTGAAATATTAAAACTCTTTTTTTATAGCAGTAGTGTATTTTCAACGAACATAAAGCACCAATGCTGCGATGTCTTGAACCTCGTTTGTGAGTTGTGAGTTTTCAACGAACATAAAGGAAAAAAACAAGAGCAATATCAAATCATATAAGCACATTGTAAATCTGTAGTAACTTTACAAATTACAACTGTGTGTTTGGAAATTTTGGATTACAGTATATATGTAATGTTACTAACATGGATTACCTCATATGTCGAAAATATTAAGAGATGAATCACGGATTTGGTGTTATTTTTTTTCCTTTTAACCGGTGAGAGAATTATCTAGAAAAAATAGATCTCTTTGAAATATTCTGAGGAAAATTAATATATTGAAACAAAACAAGAACTAGCCTCGTGCATAGCACATGAATCTGTTAATCATGATGTAGTATACAATTGCTAACAACTCAAAATTAATTGTCCTGATAATTAATGAGATAGCTGGACATTCAGAATCATTAACATGAATTATCACGGAATGAAAAATTAAACATATAGTTGGAGTTAATAGCAATGCGACATATGTGCGCACATATTAATGAGTGAATCATCTTTATCCAAACAACAAACACGCGAAGCCATAACCCTTATCAGACGCCGGTTAGAAGGAAATAACAATAAGCAAACCCAAACAGGTCGCCCTCGCCATTGGCAATGATTATAAGTTTACTTAAGATTTTATGAGAAAACGTTATTCTAAAGCCAAGACAACCTTGAGAAACCAAACGGTTGCCTTGGTCGTTTGAATATTGCTACTTTCTGACCAGTTTCAGCTTATTAGTAGTTTCGTTGTCACGATTTTATCGGTTACGTACAAATCTAAATTTACTTATGTTATTTATATTGTTGTAATATTATAATTATCTAGATTATTTAGATGTTAATCGCCATTATCTTATAATATCTACAGCTTTTTTTGAATATTGGTCCAAGTCACCTGTGCACAAAGCTCTTGTGAAAACAAGACTACAAAATTCAAGCAATTTTTTTGACTAAAAAATCTCTTAAATATTAAAAGAGAAACATTGTAATAAATGCGTTCACACCATAATTGATACGTGTCGATCTCATAATCATTTGGAAATTAATATGTTCACATACAAATTTTTTAAATTCATTATTTAATATGTTTATATACTATTTTTAATTAATTTATTTTTCCTACATTTCTAGCCTTTTTATTAATAAATTAAAATTTTCTACTAAAACTAATGAATAATATCTTTATTGTAAAAAAATTACAAAATCATTAAGATTCGCATCAACTAAAATGTTGTGATGAAAATGTTTGTAGAAATTGAAAGTTTCGTACCTTGCCGAAATTGGTCATGGTTGAGGCTTCGGTAAACAATAACAACAAATACGGTGATTGATTATGAATTAAAGAAATTGAGGTTAAAAACACTACACGTAAAATCGGATCTTTAGTTTAGTCAAATATTAATATTTTTATAAATTTTTTATATCAGACCAAGAATTAGAAACAAAATCAAATTAGTAGAAGAAAATCAGAAATAAAAAAATCCTTAAAAAGAAATAAAATAATAAAATCGATTAAAAACATAATTCAGGTACCAAGTGAAGATGTCACTTTGTAATATATATTATTTTTATTGTTTACGGGTACAATTTGATTTTCTTCATATTAAAAAATATTATTAATTTCTAGGTTTGTTTATTTTGACTTAGTTTTATTTAAGAATTTACTAGCATGTGTTATTTTGAACAAAAAATTTTAAATCTTAATTAACGGTATATTCATATATTTATCATACATTTATATACTTTTACATATACATATATGTAAATATTGACATAAGCAACTATATAACTAAATATTCACCACAAGTGAGGATTTTAATTATTATTGAAATTTTTTTTTTTATGTTTTCTTTCACTATCGCTCAAATTGTAGTGAAATGTTTTGTGTTAATAATTTTTTTTTTCTTCAAATATTATTTAGATTTTATTTGATTTTACATGTCTTTAGAAATTATAATAGGAAACTATTAGTTCGACATAAAAAAATTCTAAAATTTATATAAAACGAAACGAAACAAATAACAAGAGTTTTTGGTTATCATCGAAAAAATTAAAAACAACAAACATTTAAACCAAATAATTTTTATCTTAAAAGTAACAAAAATAATAATCACATTCCGTGCAAGACGCGAGTTATTACCTTGTAATCAAGTAATTTAAGAAAAACTTGGTAAAAACTGGATATTCTCTTTCCAGTTTAATTTATCTTGACCCCTAAACAAGAATGGCAATAATTAAATGGGAACGAAAACATAAAATGGGAACGAACAATAAATGGGTTGACTAATATACCCGAAATCATTGTTGTGTTGAGCTGACGCATGTGATCATCTTTGCTGTGTTTATCGACACGTAAATTTTTGAAGCCATTTTGTTTATTCTCACCCCGAAATTATTTTTCTTTTCTCAGAAGCAAAATTATTTCGTCAATAAAAAAGGATACAAAGAAAAGGAACTAGTACCAGTAAAAGAACAAAAAGAAAAAGCAAGAAGGAGATCATGCTACGGGGTGATGTCTTTAATCCCGCCACGAGTTTAGGCCGATTGATTAGTATCATTTCCCGTAGACAATCAATGCGTTGATTAATGAACCCATAAATCTCTACATGGGTTGACACAATCGAAGTCGATTTATGTGGCAGCGTATTCTTAACGTCCTATGGATAACGTAATCTTTGGATTAATCATACAAAAGTATCTCAAATGATATTCGTTAAATTAGTTTGGTACAAATTGATTCAACAAGTTAATGCGATACTACTATACTGGGTGCGTGCCTGAAGCATAAAAAAAATTTAAATATAAAGATAATACATATTGCTTCATCTAGAATTTTGTTTAAAATATGATCAATAGTCTTATAATTGTAGGTGTTACAAAAAAAAGTCTTATAATTGTATTCGCAATCTTTGTTTGGAACAAACTGATTCACCAAGTTTATGAGATATTCAAAAACATTGTTAAATTACATCCAAAAACTGTATGCTATGAGTTTTTATTTCAAGTTTTCGCAGCATATAGATGGATCATTATATAAATATAACTAAATTGAAATACAAGCTCAAAGGAATAAAAAATCTTTTGTATAATAAGTTGAAGCTGTTTATACATATGGTTTGGTTCAAACAAAAAAAATCAAAGACAGGTAGTGATTTTAAGCGCAAAATACAGGATTTAACGATTTAAAATTATGCTGAAGGTTTGAAAAATCATGATACAGTAAGAAAGACTTTTTTCCCCAGTAAGACATATGTTTAATCTCCTTCTTTTGGACTGTTAATTATGTCATATGGTTAAATAGCCACCTTAGTATTCTAAATTGTAATCCATGTTTTAGACTTAAAAGTATCAAAGTAAAAGCAGAGAGAACAAAAAGAAAAAGACCTTCTCAATATTGAGACGAGTGTTTAAAAGTATAATTTATGTATGCAAATAACTCAGTTCCCAATAAAACGTATTGCCCACGAAATAGTTTTTCAAAAGTGTAAAACTGTAAGATAAAGATAATTCCAGATTCATTTCAAAAAAAAAGATAATTCCAGATTAACAAAAAAATGAAGAGCAAAACCCAAATTCACAAGTACTAAAGTTGGATCAAAGACAGCACCGTCGGAAAGTTGTTGTCTTATGCAATAACGGTCGGGGATGATCGGCCAGTGAACTCTTGCATCTTCGACAGCTTTAATGCAATATCAATCTATCAAAATCACAAGTCAAATAACAGTTTAGCAATTTTGGTTGTTAATAAATATAACAATAATTAATCATTGTGAGTAAACTAAAAGGTATATGAATCTGAAGTGAGGAGCAAGAGCATCACGAGAGTCTCTCGTGCTAATTTTGTGTGCCAAGTTCTTCAACAAAGATGCGGTGTGCATAGGCTCCAGCAACTCCATGCAATGCATCATAGCTTCAAATAACAAACAGAAATAAAATATCCAAGGCATGAGCATTTACGGACATACAAATTCAGGAGGAAAAGTTTAGGGACGTTGGTAAAGTACATTACCACAGAACGTAAATTTTGGAGACGAAAGCAGTTTCTTGATGGTTTGGAAATCAAATCTTGACCTTAAGGGACGAGGAAAATCTTTTAGATCATTGAGACACAGATTCTGGAACCATTTTTCTTAAGTACATAGACTAGAGAGGGACTAGATTCTGCAAATACGTACTTCATTACTTTAACATTGTCCTCTGCAGCATCATATACTTACTTCATTAGTCTTAACACCATTGGCTGCTGCCAACTTAATTATTATCGGTCTAAGTAGAGAAAAAAAAAATGTACAAAGAGCTGGAAAGTATGATGCATGTTGTATGAAAAGAAGTGGATAGAAGGTGAATCAATGTTAGCCAAAAGAACTTGGCAGTAGTGAAACAGAACTATGTACAGTAATACAGTGCAGCGAGCATGTTCAAAGGCAATGGAAACAAGCTCATAAACTCTTGTTCCTCATAATAATAGGTTGTGGAGATAATAAACGAAGATAGACAAGTAAGCAATGTACTAGTAGCACACACTTACTAGTGACAAAAATATTCCAATTGCTAACAAGAATAGTAACTCTACCTGAATAGCCTCCTCCGAGTAATAGTGACCATCACTAGAGACTACAAGTGTGGCACTTGCACAAGTTAACATATACTCCTTTGCTTAAATGGAATCTGAAACTATTTGCTAAACAAAGCATCTACCAGAATAACAATCAAGAAGGCTAAACTAGAGATCATACCTTTGACTTTCTCAGGAGTAAGAGCATTAAGCGTTGTTGCCTGCACAAAATTTTGCGAGGTAACTAAATTGTTTGAAGATTTTCACCAGTCAAAAATAGACCAACCGTAGAATCCATCAGAGAGGATTAAAAGAGATTTAATTGTTAACACACCGGTCTACAAGACTACAGTCGTAAAAGACATCAACAAAGGCTACAATTTGCACAATCATCCAAATATGATTTCTACTCACCAAATAATGGACTCAAGAAGACAAAATTATACAACGTCTTATTTTGCAAGAGAGATTAGAATCAAGAAGTTAACACACAACACAGTCATAAGCGTCACAATCTTGCCGCACCAGTGAAACAGGCTAACACTAGCGGCAAACTGAACCATTAACTTCACCCAAACTGAAAGTCTTACAAAATGTCTCCACGGTTTGGTTAGAAAACTCATTTAAAATTGTCCGTTAATTTTTGCTGTCCCACATACTTTTAATTTTTTTTCCCATGGATTAAAAATCTTTATTTAATAAAATATTACAATTTTTACAATTCCTATAAACAAATATTTCCCATGAGGTCAGCCAATCATGAGACCTCAGAATGTGGAGGGATTTTATTTTTAATATATACTAACAATGTAAATAACAAATGAATGAACTTTTTTTTTCTTTCTCACACACTACTACTAAACCCTCTCCTAAAATCACTACCAGAACCAATAATATACTTTTCAAACAAAAAAAAAAGCTCGCTATACACAATCAAACATGTAACAAAAATAGTATCATCTACTTTAATAACTCCTCATAGGTCTTTTACCATGAGGATCCGAGCTAGAACTCGCCCCTGCACTTCTAGTGGCGTGAGCCCGTGTGGGTGTCCTAGAAGACGCTGGTGTAGTAGCTCCACCGGTTCCACTGTTTGTGTTCAAGTTCGAGCCAAACGAATCTGTACTTGATCCTGTCGTCGACAATGTCCCAACCGATGATGTTCCTGATGGACGATGATGCGTTCTACGGCGGTATCTTGATCCCGGGACACCGGGACGCTCTGGCTCTTCTAGATGTCCTGGTTTTCTCGAGAGAAGTAAAGACACTCTTCTCATGGCAGGTCTCTGGTGAGGATCTCCTTGTACACATAGCAGTCCAATCTGAACGCAGAGTCTGACTTGTTCTGGATCAGCTGAAGCTGCTATGTCCGGGTCTACCATCTCCATAGTCCTGCCTTTCTTGTACAATCTATATGCCTGTGTCACAATCAGCAAGTCTTTTAGTATTAGGTTGTTTTGAGCGATTTGAGTATAGACAAACGAGTAAACAGGACAAGAGAGTAGGCTTACCCATTCAAGAAGAGTCTGATCAGCATGTCTCAGACTAAAACTCGAGTTCTTTTGACCACTGATGAGCTCTAAAACCACAACACCAAAGCTGAACACGTCTGCTTTTACCGATAGAGCACCGTGCATTACATACTCCGGCGCCATGTAACCACTACACATTACAGAAAAAGTAAAAAAAAAACAGTAAGCATTTATTTGTGGATTGAAACTTTTGAAGGGATTAGTGATAAAGAACACATACTTGGTTCCTGCGACGCGAGTGTTGACATGCGTTGCATCTTCCTGATACAGCCTAGCCATCCCAAAATCAGCAATCTTAGGAACCCATTTCTCATCAAGCAAAATGTTACCAGCCTTAATATCCCTATGGATAATACAGTTCGGCGCGTCTTCATGGAGATAAAGCAATCCTCTAGCAACACCCGTAATAATCTCAAACCTCAACTTCCAATCTATCTCACCTCTTCTATTAGACCCTGCATCCAAAAACAAAGCAACCAACACTAAAAAACAGAACACAAGTGGTACACTAACGATGAGACAAAAGAGGTGATGATGATAACTTACTGAAAAGGACCTTGTCAAGGCTCTCATTAGCAACGTACTCGTAAACCAAAAGCTTATCATCTCCATGTGTGCAATAACCCCAGAGGTTAACGACATTACGATGCTGGACTTTAGCTAATAGCTTAGCCTCGTTAACAAACTCTCTCTTCCCTTGTCTTGAAGCTTGAGCTAGCTTCTTAACTGCTATCTCTCTCCCGTCAGGTAATCTTCCCTAATTACACACAAAACAAACTCATCAGCTAGAGAAGAACCCTAAAGATGGAAACTTTGATTCTGAAAGAAGGTTATGTACCTTGAAGACGGGTCCGAATCCGCCTTCGCCGAGTTTGTGGGTCGGGTTGAAATCCTTTGTGGCGGAGACTAAGACTTGAAAGGGGAAAACTTTCTGCTCGAGAGCAGCGATTTTCTCGATATCGTCTTCAAGACCTGAAGAAGAAGAAAGTGAAGTCGATTTTAGAGAAAAAAAACCCTAATTAATTTTAGCCCCAATTATAATTTTTTACCTCGATTTGAGCTGCGTTTGAAGGGTTTAATGATGTTTTGGAAGAAATTCATGGGCTTTGTTAGGCCCAGATTGCTCTTTTGAGAGTTCCTTGTGACCATCCCATGAAAAGGATTTTTTGAACTGAATTAGAGAGATGTATGATCGGATCTTTTAGCCGGACGTAGTCTCGGAAGATCAGATTGTGATTGAGTTAGGAGGAAGGGAAGAGGAAGAGGAAGAAAGCGTGTTTAGATTTGTCTCTGTAAATTTTGGTTATATGTGAGGAAGAGATTGTGCGCGGAAGGGAAGATGAAGACAAAAGTCAAAGATGTATTGGTGCTTTTAAAAGTCTTTGTTCCCACCTTTTTCAACTACGTTTGCATTTTTTTAATTTTAAACGCGGTGATATTATTTTATATACAACTAAAAGTTCTAGATTTTCGGTTTCTAAAATCTATAATTATCAGAACATGTCATGTAAATTACTCTGCTTCAGATAGCATGATATAAGTTAAGTTTCAGGAGTTGAAATATATTTGTAAAAATATTTTATAGTATTTTAACTTGTTAAATTGTCCATTGAAATGATAAGTAACATTTTGAATATATAGTCGTTTGTACTAATATTATTATTAGTGATTTGTAATAGTGATGTTGCCGTGTGGCTATCCGAATTCGGAACAAAAAAATGCACATTCTCTGACAAAAAGAAAAAATCCACTTCGCTTTTTGTTATATTTTTTGGGCTTATTTGTGAAATGACCAAGAAAAAAAAAGAAATTAGGTTTGTAGACAGAAGTTAGAGAGAGATAGGAAGAAAAAGTAAACGAGAGGGATTGATTTTAGCTACTGAGTGAATTAATGTTTTTTGTAAGGCCATAAAACCATATTTCCCTATTTTTTATTATTTGTTTTTTTTTTCTTGTGCAACGTTTTTTATTATTTGTTTAGGGTCCAAAGAACCGCGGAAAAGCTGAATGGTTTGGTTGCTAGACATTAGTAGAACAACCAGCTAGTTAAAATAAGATAGAAGGACGACAAAATGATAGTTTTATGTAGTATATTCTGTCCAGTAAGTAACTAACAACGTTATTAATTAATAATCACAAGATAAGAGTAAATCATATGGTTCAGGAAGGTGCCACCTCTGCATTTATAAAGCCACTTACCTTGACCAAACCTTCATAAACCAAAGCTCGTAGCATAGTCAATTCGCAGCTCATTTTTTTGGTTAAACATTACTTTAAACCTAACCTTAATCTTATGAAAAATCAGATTAAGTTCCTTTAGTCCAGTTATTTGACTATATCTTTACTATACTAAAAGGGGCTAATACTCCCCCCTCATGAAGCCACGTAGGATTTTTTAATCCTCCAATCAGAACTCTGTTTTCGTCCAGCTCAACAACTGAGTTCCTTTCGAATGGGCTTTCGTTTATTGTGTTCGCTACGAGTTGGGCTGTGCGAAGCCCAAACAGCGCCCCCACCACTTTAGTATACGGCGCTGAAAGAACCCTATTTTTTCCCAGATCTAATTATCCTCCCTTTTTCTTCGGCTTCTTCGACATCTTCTTTTCACCGTCTTCAATCTGCTCACAATCAATTCTCCCCCACTACAGAGCAAAGGTGAAACCTTTCTTAGCATGTTCTTTGAATCTATGTAATTTTTCCAGATTTCTCACATACATGGGGCATATCATATGTACGCCTCTCCATCTCCTTTTAAAAAGAGATATATATCTTCAAGATTTCAGTTGTACTGTCGGGTAAGTCATGTGAATTCTGTTTCTACAGAGATATTTGTTGCTGCAATTGGCGAAAGAATACAAGCTGCTAAAGCGTAAGGTTTTTGTTAATGTGTTTGGTATTATCGTAGTATGATTTATGTTTTTGGTCTGAAGCAATTTCTAACTTCACAATGAACCAGACAAGTAAATTAAGAAAACTCGAAGGAGCTTCTGTGGCTAATGGAATTAATGGTTTTCGATAAATGCATTGAATAAGAGCTTTACAATAAATTGCTTAGCATTTGGCTATTTTGACCCGTTCAACTGAAATACGCTATTTTTGCATACAAGTACTCTGATGGATCAACATTTCTTGCAGGGAAATTAAGAAGATGAAATTATATGAGATAACATGCAGAGAAGGCGTGGTTGAAGTGGGGAAAAATGGAGTAGTGGCAGTGCGTGATTCTCTATAGTAAACTATTGTGGTTCGTTGAAAACTGATGACTTATAAGAGACGAATCTTTGATACTTTCAGAGTGAAACATGGAGAGGGGATGCTACAAGGTAATTTTTGTAACTAAACTCCTCATCATATATATATATATATTCTAACTGAAAGAGTGAAAAAAGCATGAATTAGACTGGACTGTTGTCAATGTGATAAAACCAGATGCGAGGAGCACATCAGATATAAATCACACAAGGTGGATGTAGAAAACAGGAAAAGACTTAGGGGCAGAGTAAAAAAAGGATCTAGAGGATAGAGAAAATAAAGTCTACAAGAAAGTGAGAGAAAAAGCTAAGCATATGAAGAAGTCTTACCGAATATGGTCATGGTCACCACGACCATGATGTGAACGAGCAAGAACCAGAACGGCATAGTGAGCTAGATTTGACATTTACCTTGACGGTACAAAAAAGCATTATGTATTTGTGCATTGACAGTTTCTTTGTTTTACATCTGAATAGCGGTGTCTAATCTAGGAGAAGCTAATTTTACAAAACCGGAGGAGATCGATCCACCAGGGACAAAAGTGTTTTTCTGTTCCTGTCTTTGGATTATACCAAACCCGTCTAACCTGAGGGCTGAGCCATTACGAGATACCTTTTATGGACACGAGATGACGGACACTTTGGAGCTGATCATGATTTGCTGCCTCTTATATCTTTTGCCAAATCTTTCGAGTATCACGTTTGATGTGAGAAGTTTTAATCCTTTTTACCTATTCTTTCATTGTCTCACAACCAGGAAGCTCATATCAATGTCCAAGTTTGAAAGAAGAGAGACTTTAGTATTATGTTTTGCTTCATCAATGTCACAGGGACGCCTGCTTAAAATGCACGAAAAAAAACTTAATATTTATTATTAATATTTCCTTATTGGTGTCATACTTAAGATACGATGCATTGTCTGTGAAAACTTAGGATTGTTATTTTAAACTCTTCTTAGTGTTACCAAGAATTTGTAGGAACCTTTATCATTAAAACATTTCTAAATATACCAACCAAATCAGTTGTTAACAAAAACGAAAAAAATAGAATTGCACATTATTACACCTATATTAAAATACAATATATCTTTAAATTTGGCTCCATTTGTTTTACAGCTATTAATATAGAGGAAAAAAACCCTAAAAATTAAAGATTTTCCAACACAGCCATTAAAATAAAGTTATAACAAATGCTTCCAATTGATATCCTTTGTTTTCCTAACACTATTTTGTGACGTAATATGAGTAAACAATAATCTTCATACAACAAATATTAAAGTAGCTCATAAATAAACTAAATGTCGTACACAAATATAGTGAACCCCTGTTTTAAAAATATCACTCAAACGGACAAATTAAATTGTTATCCCATCTGCCAAGAACCATTCGAAGGAACATAAATTGTTAATTCACTCAGGTGCGACCACATATTCCATCACCTATGCATCGTTGATTGGGTTGGCCATAGCCTAAGTTGTCCTACATGTCGGGAAACACATATCTAATCTGTGTTTTACTCTTAGTCATTCAATAATATGGTAACTAAACCACAGTTACCCTCAATGATTCTGTAATGGACAATTTCGTTTATGACAGTACTTAAAAACTACTTCCTTTTACTCTCCAATCACATTTCTTGCTATTTATTATACATCCACAAACATTCGGGTCTCACATACGAGAAATGATTGAGCTATGGATGGTATTCCACTCAAATAAGAGACCACACATCTGAATCACTTAGCCAACTCTCCATCTCTACAGACTCATCGTTAGAAAGGTCGTAAGCCAAATACAATTACAAAACGTTGTCTAACACTAAAACCTCTTAAATTCCTAAACAATAATATTATTAGTATTATTATTATAAAAAGAGTGTAAATTATATCTATGATTCTGCCAACTACTTGGGTGTATCGTGTTCAAGATTCATTTTTAAAACCAATGCTTTAAATTCAAAATTGTTACCTTTTAAAAACTGGAAATATTATTCTTCCATGCGTGAATACGGTTCTGTTAGAATGAATATAAAAAATAGGAAAACTAAAAAAAAAATTGTACCTACAAGGACTCAAACCCGAACTCCCGGACTCATAGAAGAGGTACACAACCATTACACTAAACACAAACTTCATTAATAATATGAAAGAACATAAAGCGCCAGTATATAAATCGAACGGAAATTGTTTCCATAACAACGCCTAATTAGGGTATACAAATTTATACACAGCAAGATACAGTTGTAAGCCCCAAAGAATTGTATTTTGTAGTGAACTGTGCTTTCAAACATCAAAATAAAATGACTCCATATGACTACTTCTCGGGTAATCAGAATCTCTTATCAAATAGTCACATAGGAATGTTTAAAAATATGGAAAAAAAAATTCACCCAAACAATCCGGGCGTAGCCCGGAAAACGGTTCTAGTGTTCATTAATGCAGGATGGCTTCTACATTAAGAATATTTTAATTAATGAAGACTAAAAAAAAAATTATTTAAACTAATGGTGAAAATAATTATATCATTATTTATTTTAGAAACGAAATTATAACTAAAAACTCTGATAGCTTTGTTGGTAATACATTAAAAAGTTTATATATTAAATCCTAATGAAATAGGTAAATAGAAAAATATTATGTGATATTATATCAGAAGAACCTTGGATCTAAAGTTTTGTAAAGATTTATTTATTTAAGAGGCCGAAATATAACTGAAATTTTGGTAATTTTGTTAGTAATGTTTATTTGTAAAGGAAAATCAGAGTTCCAAGTTCAAATCCAGTTACCTTTTATTTCTAAATATTTGATTTTTGATTTTTGAACTTACAAATAATAAGATCAGTGATGTAAAAAGTAATGTCAAACATTGATATTATAAGACAAAAAGGTACTGCATAAATTCTGAAAACATATGTAAAACTTTCGATTGAATAATCATATATGTAATATTATAATAACCAAGGTATGAAAAATCCGTATGACAAACCAGATTGGATGAATCATATTCGTATAGAATTTTAACTATATACGTGTTTACATGGTTTTCGGAACATGTAATTTCTAGTCCTTCACCCAAGCACATACAGTAAAGCCAGTGTATGTTTTTTCCTTGTGTCAAATCTAGTGTTAGGTTTTTAATTTGTGTTTTACAGTGACCAGAAATATTTACTACTCTATATGACATCATCGACGATGACGCTAAAAGTAAAAATTGATCATCACTTGGCATAAAATAACATGACCCAGGACGCGTTTCTATGGACTTTATTCGTTCAGTCAAATCTAATGTGTACCCTTTATTTTATTTTGTTTGTTCCTTCTTGTAACTTTTATTACCATCTTTTTGTTAATTTTAGACACAAGTAATAAGACTCCCTTTTCAGCACCATCTTTTTTAAAAAAATTTACATACGAGTAATAACACTCCCTTTTGGGCAACGAAGAATTCACATGTATATTGCTTCTAATTTTTGTTTTAAACAACTCTTTTATCTATCAGGTCAAAGTGATTAGATACATGGTGTATATCCTATTTTTCAAAGGTAATCATTAATAATAGTGGGAAGTAGACAAGTGATAGGCCCTAAAATGCTCAGCTATCGTACAATCCCATAAAATTCTAGGTTCGAAAGCTGTGTGTTATAGTATAGTCAAAAACTATATGCTCACTGGGTCAATGAGAAAATCAAACGAACAATTGAAAACTTTTAGGTCGTGAAAAGTTATGATGCACGAATCCACCAAAGGAAGATGCAACTATTGTCAATGAAATCATTAAATATAACTTAAACATTACGCGGCATTTATATTAGATGTCTTTGTCACATGTGTACGCTAAAACATAAAATAAAACCAATGTAATGTATCCCTAACTAATAATAAGAGTATGCTCAAATGTACCTCACACGAATCTATCATAATATTTGCAAGTGGTAACTGATAACAGAACTATAGACATAATCATGAGCTCTTCAAAGTTCAAACATATAAATTTGGAGTTACAGTTTTCAGCTTTGTCACTATTTTGTCACCAAAAATGTCTCGTGTATAAGTTGGATAATGTTATTAATTAGAAGCATTCTTTTGACCAACCTTAATGGCCAGGGGTGTCAGAAGGAGGTCAAGATCTAAGTGAACATTAATAGAAACTATCGAAAACTCTTACAGACTAGTTTAGATCAGAAATTATACTGTATATGATGTTCGATAATCTCTGTTATTCGAGATTCATGTATTACCCATCAAAAACGTATAATAGAATTGTGATTTTCATTTGTGGCATACCGTTAGAAAAATGTTAGTTTGTTGTTTTCATATTTATTTACTAAAATGATAAATTTGGGGTGAAGTCGATACGATTCTTCGTTAGTGTAGACCCTCTCTCAAGCAGAAATCAAACTAAATTCTTAATGGCTTCGAGGACTTTGCAACTAACCTAAAACTCACTTATATACTATTGTTATTTCAATATTGTTACTCATTTTGTTATAACTAGTATTTTTGATAAAACCATATTCGATTTAAAAGAAAATCGTAGGGCTACTCTATTTTTTTATAAAAAAATATTTAATTGTAGGAGAGGTCTTTGCAAGAGTCGAAGGGTACAATATATCAAACCAACTACCAAGTCATGCACAAGCTCATTTGTTTTTTTTTTTGGGTGTGTTTATGTGTTTTCAGTTTCCATTATGTTATTTTATTCGGCTTGGTATTTATATTCCAAATGTAAACCATAATGCGGTTCAAAAAAATTGTAGGATAGTCTTTGAAAGAGTCGTAAGGTAATATACAGCATCACACGCACCAAATCAATTAGCACACGCTTTTTGTTATTTTGTGTGTTTTCAACGCACATGAATGCTTATCTGTCAAATTGTATTACGATAGAAAAAAAGAGTAGCCTTCAAGTAAAACTGACCAAACGTAATATTCACAAACATTTTTCACGTGAACAAAAATATGTCTGATCCCTCTGAAATTTCAAGTCGAGTTTATCCGCTAAAGCCCATCTAAACAGGCCAATATACTACTTGTACATCTGTTGCATGACTGGGTCAATTACTTGTACGTACTCAATCCGAAATCCAGGTGGGAACATGGGTCATTCTCTCTCAAATATTAATAGCACCAAACAAGTCATGGAATGCACCTTATTCAAAATTTCTTTTTGATTCTAATTATAAAAATAGATTACAAGAAAAGGAATCAGAGAAATGGTTTTCAGTATACATACAGCCAATCAAAGTCTACTTAGTTTCGTTAAGGCTAGTTATATAAACTAAACAAATACAGATAAATCAACATTTTACCTATGCTCACAAAGTAAAAAAAGGAAAGAAATATGTAAGCTTACGTTATTATTTCAGTTTTGATAGACAATCTTCTTATATTGTTTTAGACCTTCTGTAGAGTGTCTTTTATGTGTATTACATATAAAGGGCAGGACGCACTTCTACATTTTTTGAATCATTGTGGCTCGTTGGTTCTTTACAACATGCATTTTAATTATGCAACCAATATATTATGTAATCAATAATGTGATGGAACATATAATATATGTGGAAATAAAATCTAGCTAGGCATGTTAGTATAATAAATAGACAATGTGTAGAGGAAGGTTGTGCGCATAATTAAGTGCACATGAGCGTTTGAGCTTTAAGAGGATCGATCGCCGAAAGTCACACATTTCGATCTCTCACTTATTTTAGAAATTAAAAGTACAAACCATACTTTCTTCTTCATCCACCATTAAAACCTCTCGCTTTAAAAACATGTTTATACATTTATAATATGGTCAGAAATTGATGAGACTCTAAATGATCCAAAATCCAAAGCAACCAATCTTTTGGTGATTTCAGCAGACGTTTGAAGAATCTCTTAACTGTCACATTATTTGGGTTAGCTGGATAGCTAGTTGTCATATAAAACCAAATATGTAAAGATTTTATTTTATTTAATTTATATACTTTAATAACGTTTAGAATACTATATATGATGAATTATATTTACTCCATAGTCTCCGAAAGAAAGTGACAAAATAAACAATCATTTACACAACAAGTATTTTGTATGTATAACTAGTGATCATCAATAGCGACCAGTACATGTCTGGTTGATTGTTTTGAAGTTCCTAGTGACCAACATCGCTAACTAAATCTTATACATTTTCTAGTCGTTACATCTGCAAACATATTGACGATTAAGTTTTGGACACTAAGCACAAATAATTCTAGTCATTAAAAGTTGTATGTTTGTGAACTAATAAAAGAAAGATGTTCTTGTTTTAAGTTTTACGCTAGCAGCGTCTTTTACCAACCAGATTAGTATATTGCTTAGAACTGAATCCATTCCATCGATCCGAGAATAACTTGCAATATAATTTACAACCCCTTCTCTAAACACAAACAGTTTAAAAAAATACACAATTGCAAAAGGTAAAACGAATATATTGGGAGAGTATATTGATACAAAAGAAAACACAACAAAGGACTCGTCTTTGCAGAGTGAGTCATGCGTAATTGCTATCAAGTTACAATCCAAAAGAAAACAAATCAAGAGGTTACTTACCCCACCTGTTAACAGTAATTCTGAACTCACCCCGAAAGTTCCTAAATGTTCTAAAAAGTCCAAAAAAAAACAAAACCATTATGTACATTGGAGCTGGCATTGTTGTTGAAATCATTCCAAGCTCTGCCACAAACATCCAACAAATTTGACAGCTTGCCCTTTGGCTTTTTTTAATAGCAATATCTCACCTTACTACTCACTACACTACACACACATACACTCATCATTCTACCTTTTTTTCTATTACCACTCATAAAGACAAATAAAAAAGTGAAAAATTATGCTGACACCACTCCTCTCTTTCTATATAACAAATCTTCAATTTTTATAATAAGAACAAATTAAAAAAAAGACTGACATTCTCATCTGACAGAACATAAGTGAATCAGATGGATATTTTATCCGAGTCTTTTATGACATTTTCTTCTTCATCTTAGACCTTTTCTTGTTGTTCCTTGCCTCTCAAGCAACACAGTCACTCCTTAACCTTATTACAAACAAGAAAATTGATTCTTCTTTATAACCACACTTTTTTAACAATCAACTAGTTTTAAAAGACTTCTGATTTTAAAAGAAAACCAGAGATTATGTACCTTTATGATTTCTTCTGTTCACGCCACCAAATGCATAGAGTGAACTCAAACTCAAAACTCAAAACTCAAACCCACACTCAATAACTCATGTCTTCATTTTCTCTAACACGAATAAGATCAATATTCTTGAGATCACGTAGATGTTGCAGAATCTCATTGAGTAAATGAACACCTTTGTCCCCTTTTTTCAATGAGCCAACACAATGTCTCAAGAACTCTCTATCTGCCTCCAAAGCTTCTAGTCTCTCATATAGCTCATCCACTTCATCCTCCACATTAACAATCTCACCTTTCTCCGACTCATCAACAACACCATTTTCATAGTGTTCTCCGTTTCCAATCTCTCCATCAACTGCATCAAAGAGAGGAAGTAGTCTCTTCGACTTAAGAACTCTATGTTTCCCATTGGTCTCCTTTTCATGAACATGCCCATTTCCATTACTCTCAAACGTCTTAGCTTCCTTCTCCTTCTCCTCGCCCTCTTCATCATTCAAAGCAGTGAGTTTCTCCTCAAGAAACTTCAACCTCCCGAGAATAGAAAGCCTCTCACCTTCATAATCATCTAAACACTCATCAAGACGAAGCACAACATCAACAGGAGTGTTCTCCACTTCACTCTCTCCTTCAACGCTCTTATGCCTTAACTCTCCGTTGTTCTCATCTGAATCTCCATTGTTTCTATACGAATCAACGGAGGAATCTCTCATTCTCCTCATCATCATCCCCATCCTCTCTTTAGCTTCATACTCCTCCACTCTCTTCCTACACACCTCTAGCTCCTTCTCCAGCTCCGCGTTCTCCTTCTCTCGTTTCACAATGACTTCGTTTAGTAGCTGCAAGGCCTCTTGATCGAACTCTGATTGCTCCTCCATCATTCTCTGGTACTGCAACGCCTCCATCTGCATCGCTGCTTTCTCCTCGTGTAATCTATTGATCATCGCCATCGTTTCGTTTGCTGCAGTCGCGGACGCGCTCCTCTCTTCCTCTAGCTCCTCGTATAAGGCGTTGAGAGCCTTTCTCTCTTCTTCTAACTCTGACTTCAACTTGTCCACGGTGAGTAATGCTTCAGCATATTCCTTATTCTCAAGGGTGGGTTCTTGTTCTGTTCTGGATCCACTTCTATCTAGTTGAAACATAACGTTGTGTAGACCGTCTGAAGTTTCAAGAAGCATTTCTTTGTTGGCGTGTAAGACAGGTCTTTTTGTCTCAATATCCACTGTTTTGAACTCCAACGTATCATCATTTTCTGTGGATGAAGTAACGAATGTATGTTGATAATGTTAATAAGAAATCAGTAATCTTATATATTATTTATTTTTGTATGCTTTTAATTACCATGATCGTTGTCGTCTTGAGGAATGAGTTGGTGAGATTGGTTATCTCCGAGTTGCTCGTGATCAGGAATCTCTGTGCCTATTGAAACATCTGCGTCTGTATCATCATCGTTCTGCGTTTGCAATAACTCATCATCTGTCGGAGAATCTGCAACATAGTAATATTAAAAAACATCAAACTCAAAGACTCATTAGGACAAGAAAGAGTTACAAGTGTTTCAAACAAAGCACCTTGTTTCGTCTCATCGTCGTCTTGTTTCGATTCTCCCGGCGAGGGAACAGCGGAGACTTCCTCCGAAGTTAACGCCACGTCTTCCTTCTCCTCCTCCGCCGCCGTGGTGGTGAAGTCAGGTTCAGGTTGTTGTTGTTGTTGATCAGGAGAAACGAACATTAACAAATCACCTTGACTCGTCTTAGCGTTGTCCGGTTTCGATTCTTTCTCGTCGGAAGCTAACGCCACGTCTTCCTCCTCCGCCGCCTCCGCCGTCACCGCCGCCGTGAAATCAGGCTCAGCGCCGAAATCAAGAATAAAATCACCGTTAACGTCGGAAATCTCTCGGACTTCCTCGCTAGGTTTGTAGAATTCTTCAACCGGAATCAAATGGCAATCCTGGTCGTCAATGTAGAACTCAAGGTTCGTCGCCGGAGCAGGTTTATCATCGACCTCCATAGCTAGATCCACTCTGTTTTCTTCTTCTTCTTCCTTCTCCGTTACAACAACTTCTTTGTTACAATCGAAACTCGATACAAAGCAAGAGAACTCATCATCATCATCAATAACCTTCTCCTCTGTTTCTTCTTCATCAACAACCTTCTCCTCTGTTTTTTCTTCATCAACAACCTTCTCCTCTGTTTCTTCATCTTCATCAATAACCTTCTCCTCTGTTTCTTGTTCAACCCTAGTGAAGAAGCTTCGTTCCTGAGAATCAATCAAATGAGCAGATCCTACGTGTTCTTCCAGGACAAAGATAGATCGGGACCGTTCGGTGAAAAGCCGACCATTGTGAACTTGAACATCATCACCGATCAGATTCGTTTTAACAAAACCATTATAACCTTTATCATCCCTCAGATCAGGCTCCATCGGAGCACAACAGACCAGCTCCTTAGGGAACACCACATCAAAGGACTCGGACTCATCTGAGCCTTTGGATTCAGAGAGAGGCTTTGAAACCTCGAGGGCGTGAACGTGATCATCGCAGAGGAGATCTTTGTGTGAAGGAGATTTACCAGAAGGATCAAAGAACCGATCGAGTCGTGAACAGAGGAGGCAAGGTCGCTTGAGACCGAAGTAATCAGCGAATCTGAGGATGAAATAAGAGAAGAGAGAGTTGACAAGGATGAAGGAGATGAGTGTCCACTCCAGGAAAGCGTAGACGAGAACGAGTGTGATCCGGTTCGTTTTCCGGTGGATCAAAGTCGCGAATCTGTTGGCCGCCATAGACGAAAGACGATGAAAAGGGTTCGAAAGAGTAAATGAGATTGTTGAGCAAATATTTACAGAAGAGAGAGAGAGAGAATGCGTGTGGGACGGTGTTGTAGGGAAGAACAGAGAAAGACTTGTCAGCTTAAGTAAGTTTTAGTCCGAGTCTCGGACCCGACCGTAGACGTTTTTTTTTTTTTTTTAAATGAATAAATATATTATTTTCTTGAGTTTTATTATAGTTGAATTTTAATTTGGCAAGCAAGAAAATGCGTATATTCCCTAAAAAAAAAAGGGAAATAAATATATACAAAGAAGTCAAGGATAATTAAAGCTTACGTTAGGTAAAGAGATGAATATCATGTTTATTTAAGTCTAAAATGGTAGTATTTAGTTTTAGTAATTTGCTAAGAAACAAATTATTCGTTAAATATGTTATTAATATATGGTTGACTAAGACATTAGGAATTTTTTTAACACCATATTTTGGATTTTAGTTTATACGAATATTAATTTTCCAAATTGCGGTCAATTTTTTTGAATCCATGTCTATTTTCAAACATGAATATCATGTTTATTTAAGTCTAAAATGGTATTTAGTTTTAGTAATTTGCTAAAAAAACAAATTATTCGTTAAAATGTTATTAATTTATGGGTTGACTTGACTGAAACCTTGGGAATTTTTTACACCTTGTTTTGGATTTTAGTTTATACGAATATTAATTTTCCAAATCGCAGTCCATTTTTTTAATCCATGTCTATTTTGATACTATAGGGTCATTATGAATATTTATTTCTCTTAAATAGTATTGAACTATACAATAATTTTTAAAAGCTTGAACAAGATATATTATTTGTACAGATTTTAAAATAAATATGTTTGACATATTTCAAATTCTCAATAATTGCTCAAAACAATATATGAATGCTAGGGAAATTTATAAAAGAGAGCGGAGGCGAGTGGATTAGTGTAGCGGAAAGCTATTGATTTACAATTTGTTTTTGTCGTCAAGCTACTGATTTTATAATTAAACATTGATCGTGACGCAATCATACTGTTGAAATTTTATTTTAGTTTTGTTAAACTTTGTAAGCAAAAGAAATAGAATTTAAGTAAAAATAATTAAAAGAAATAAACAGGTTTGCCACGTGGTTTGTATGACCCCGCCACTATTTCTTTCGCTTTGGCCGGAAAAAAGCAGACCCATACCCGTGACCCACATGCGCGGAGAGGACCCATGCTTTTAAAACTTCGGATTTCACATTCTCAATGGGATGGAATTTTCGGTTTAATTTTGAACATTGGTTTATTTTGTTACTAAACCATCTGGTTTGACAAAAACTCCAAGTCCATTAGATTACTAGATTGTGTATATGCTTGGTTTGGTTTGATTCGGTCTTGTCGAAATATACTGCCCACCTAATTCAGATAATCAAATTCATATTTTTCTTATATCTTTTCTGTTGAGACATGCTATATAATTTCACAGTGGAATTTAGAAAACATATGATGCATTATTGTAGAGATTTTCACTCAATTCGTTCGTTCTCTATGTATATAATGATGTTTTGAAAGTTAAGAAGAACATTTTTGTTAGTCATACAATGGATTAAATATGGTAATTTGAAAGTGGGTAATAGATTTGCTTTAGTTTCCTTTTATTTAAACACCACTTTAGTTCTTTCATTTTTTTGACCAGTATTAGGCCCCTGAGGAAAAATCAAAAGGGGGACAAAGACATGAAGCCACTGTTACAACTATGACCAAAAGGCGACCACGATATTTACTAAATCGGTTGTATTATTCAGTTTGATCGAATAGTATGATGTCGAGTTACTCCCCCCGATTAGATATATACTACGCTCTTTCTCATATAAAGAAATTGGCGTTATCAAGTTCAACAAAATTGGTGTACAAAAATTCTAAGTAGACGTTATTTGTAGCTAATAGCCAGAACTGCATAAACAATTACATTTGTAATGTGTGTCAAGTGTCAACAATGTAATTAATATTAGAAATGGAAGGAGCAAAAAAAATAGTACATGAACCGGTCTAACATTATGTGCCACTTTTTTTAAAATAAAAATCCCCATCAACCAAACCTAATTAATTTGAGTTAGAGCGTGTCCATTTTATATACAATACTGAAGGGACATTTCAACTTTGTGATGTATGCTATTTTATTATTATTCTGTTAGTTAGCGGAATGGTTCACATTGACATACAAATTCTGACTTTTTCGAAACACATTATTATAAATATATAAATATTTGATTTGAGCTTGTGACATTGCCAAATATATTCGCGTGTTAACGAAGAGATAATCATCACCAAATGTATGATAAGTATCGAAATCATTAATATTTAACGGTCCAGTATATCTACTTAAGCTGGTATGTCGGAAATAAATTAAATCTAAAAGAGGTGTTATTAACCAGAAATTAGTGATGAATAAATTCTACTAATACTGGAAATCTATACGTTAAGATAATTTTGTGCTTTCAATTCATAATGCAACAAAATAATTTCGTGAATGGAAGGTGCCATGTGAGTGTGTGGCTCATACAAAGTCTAATGACAGGTCACTCCCACCTCACTGTTTTTCTAAATATTTTTCAACGTAAAGTAATAAATTTTCATTTTTTTCTTATGTTGAGGATATTCAAATCTCTACAATTTTCAGATTCTTAGCTAACTGTACATGCGTTCATACTTTCACATCATCATTTGGCCTTTTAGTTGATTAATGTATAGATTAATTTCAGGGGGAGAATAAACATGCTGCAAAGAAGATGTGAAGATGTGAACCGCTCCTAAGAAAATATGTATTTAGAGCATCTCCAAAAGACACTCTATAACTTCAAATATGAAGTTTTTGGCTCTCCAAAAAGAAACTTTAAAACTTCAAATTTGAAGTTTTGAGTAGTGAAACTTCAAATATAGAGTGTCACTACTCAAAACTTCAAATTTGAAGTTTCATATTTTTATTTACATTTCGGTCCTTACAATTGAACATCATATTTATAATTCTTAAATATTTTGTGGATTATCATTTTAACCCTTAAAATTTCTTATCTCATAAATATTTCAAAATTGTTTGTATAAATTTATATTTTATACATATTTTTCATAAAAAAAAATCAAAATAAGATTTGAAATATTTTAAAACTAGAACTAGACAACAACAATATTACAAGACTTAATGTAATATTTTGTTTATAGTTTAATATTTAATTAGATATTTTTATTTATAGTTTCATATTTTAATGTAACATTTTATCAATTAATATTATTGTAATATTTTTATATATATGTTAGTTATTTACAAAATTTCTATGAATTTGAATTAGTTATAATAAATATAAGGACCATAGTATAAAATACAAATAGTTTTGAAGTTAAGTATGAAGTTTTGCTTTTGGAGCACAACACCTTCAAACTTCAAATATAGAGTTTTGCAAACTCTAAAATAGAGTATCCTTTTGGAGATGCTCTTAATGGTAATCAACATACGAACTCGACCAATTAAAGACAATATTGAACTATTACTAACAAATGTTTTTATGCTGTATATTTATTTTAGTTTATCATTAAAAATAAGAAAGAAGAAACGACCACAATGATTAACATTCGTCGGCTGAATCAATATCGTCATTATAAACAAATTTAAAATGGTGGTGGGGTTTTGCAGCCTAAGCTTTTAGGTTAAGGCTTTTGACATGTGATTAACTTTCTGCAACAGTAATGGCGCTCACTAATCCCACAAAAAAGGAGAAAAACAATTTCGACACGCACTTAGGATTCTGAAATAGGAGTATGTGAAAACTTAGAAAACTCACTTGTCGCGTCCATGAAAAAGTGTGTTGTCGTAACGCTTTAATTGAGAAAGGGATCAAATGTAATAGTATTATAATTGTAAGGATCAAAGTTTATTGGCTGCCTAAAATGAAGGGTAATTTTTCTTTCTTCTTCATGATCTTAATAATTTTGATCTATATTAATAGATAGATATTAGGTACATGGTATGGGAGTAGATATATTTACCATACTATAACAAAGTAATAATATAAAAGGAAAGACCTAAAAACATAAACAATACATATGATATTTATGAAGAATAGTGGAAAGAGTAAAAATGGTGAGAGCAATGATGTTGAATTAAGAGCTGTTGGAGAGAGGTGGGGGATCCAGTGGCCCCTCTTTCAATACTATAAAAAAGCTTTCTCTAGTGATTCTTATTAATGTTAACAATAATAAATAGGAAAAATCTATAGAAAAACATCACACTGGATAAAAACAATCACTATATTAAATTTGGAGATTTTCAATTTTAAAATCTTGAAATACACACGAACACGATGGTGGTTTAATGGTTAGCAATCTTCAAATTGTTAAGTGATCTGAGTTCGAAGGTATCCCAATATATTTCATTGTGTTGTCACCTAGATATAAATTAATTGTTTATATCTTATTTGAATATCCAGAAAGAAAATCTTTATGTGAATTGTATTTTCTTTTTAAAGTTACTTTATTCCGCATAAATCTAAATACCATCAGATTAATTAAAAATATTAGTTTCAAAGATGTTATATTCTTTTACTTACTAGCTTTTAGGGATCAAACACAATAAATAAAACTCTTTTATATGCAGAGGTATAGAATCATGCAAATCCAAAAACTAAACAAAAATAATGCAATAAAAGAAACAAAGCATGTTGTTCGTAATGGGAGATTCATGTCTTGTTAGCCGACTTAAACATCCCGTTAAGATGGAGACATTCAAATGTCTCAGTCTATGATTTTGTGTCTATCCTGTGAAGAACATTAAGGGTCCATGAGTTTTGTATGGTCAAAGGATTCTGCTTCCATGAGTTTTGTCACTAGCCTTTGATGTTATCGAAGATAACACTACTAAACCAGCTTCTTCTAGTTCACTGAAGAGTTACATGTTTCTGTTGTAATGTTCACTTAAGTTTGTTTCACACTTTCTCTAACTCTGTTTTCTCTGTTTTGTTTTTCTGTTTTTTGCTGTGTACTACTTGATTTCACCAAACAACTTTTTCATTCATTTTTTGCTGCTTTCTTATAAACGACCACACACACTCTTTAT